TCTCTCTCTCTCTTTCTCTCTCTCTCTCTCTCTCTCTCTCTCTCTCTCTCTCTCTCTCACACACACACACACACACACACACACACACACATTTCTTTAGTCAGAGAAGCTCATTTGCTGTTTTCCTGATCTTCACACCCTTGAGCTGCCCTTCAGGAACCCAGAGTTGCTAGATAGAGCAAATAAAAATATAGGACACCCAGTTACATTCATATTTCAGATAAACAACAAATCTTTTTTTAGCATAAGTATGTCCCATGCAATATTTGTGTGTCCAAATATAAACAAGGTGTTTTCCACAGAACCTTGAGGACCAGGGCCAGCTTCCTGGAGTGAGAGCTCTGCAGTGGCACAGGACCCCATCCTCAGAAAGAACTGTTTCATTTATTGCTCCTGCTTTCATCATCTTGAGATATTTAGTAATTTTTTAACAAAAGACCCATTTTCATTTTGTACTGGGTCCCCAATTATGTAGCTAGAGCATGATTTGTGTCCTTGATGTTATAGGTACAGTCATTTCAAGTGAATATCATCCTGCATGGTACAAACCTGAATGTGGGCCCACAATCTGGCTCATCCTTGTAGCAGAATGACTACTCAGTGGTTTTTCCTGAGGAATCATATTTTTTTCTGTTCTAATTGACTCTAATGTTTCTGCCTTGGCAGCAAACACTCCTGTTAGACTTTTTAATGCAAATGTCACTGTACCTGGCATAAATCAGCAAAATAGTGCATAGAAATGCTAGCAGTTTCATAGATTCCTTGAAAAGTGATTTGACCTAAAAAAAAAAAACTTTTATTGGTGTTACATAATCGGGGTTGCATGATGCATATGCTATTTATTATCAGTGCATGTTTCTGATGTCATCATTCTGCACAATTGCTCAGAGTCATAGTTTCCAATTGATGGCTTCAGATTGCTTGATTCCTCCTACAGATGTGCTCTTTATTAAAAGAAAAGACCATGACTGCTCTGACTGCTCAGTCACTGCAGAATTTTCGTAAGAAGTATTCCTGGGCAGGTGTGTAAGAAAATAAAGAGTACTCACATTTAGAACCAGAGAACTGTCTTAGGATAGTCATCAGTAGTCATAAAAACACCACTCACAATCATATCGAAAGAAATCGAATCACCAAATTGTCTTAGAGTATAAGGAAAACTCCAGATTTGGATAAGGATGTGTTAAAAAAAACAGTATTTGATTTTATGAAAGCATCTACTATGAGGTTCATTTTTCTCCTTTTTTTTGATGTTTAAATCCTTTTTCTTTTTTTATTGTTGTGCTAGGTGGAGGTACATTGTGGCATTTACAAAAGTTCTTTATCAAATATATTTCCTTTAACCCCCCTCCATTCTTGGAATAGTTTCAACAGGTATCATTTTTATATTTACATACATGTGTACACAGTATTTGCACCATATTTACCCTCCTACACTCTTCCCCTACCTCTTCCCCCTCCCCCTCCCACTGGTACCAACTCCCCCACTCCAGGCAGGACCTATTCTATCCTCCTGTTTTTCAATTTTGTAAAAGAAAAAAAAAGATATTTTTGTTTGCTTAAGATAGCTACACAGGGAATTTCCTTGTGACATTTCCATGTCTATATGTATTATAACCTGAGTTGGTTCATCTTCTCTTTTTTTCTTCTTTCTACCTTAGTTCCCTTCTTATGGTGTTTTCAACGGGTTTAAAAATTCTATATTCACTCTTGTATAGAGAGTACATATGAAGTTCATTGTAAATAATGAAATCTCTACTCCAACTGAAAGATCCCATGAATAAAAATGTTACTGAATTTCCTAGTTTTGGTAATCATTATTTTTATGTATGAGGTCACTTGTGGGGGATCTAGGTGATGGCTATGGACAAACTCTCTGTACTACTTTAATTTTGCAACTACTTGTGAGTCTGTGATTGTTTTTGAAAAGTTGAAGAACTAATCTAGGTGTGGTGGTATGCACATATAATCTCATCATTTGGAAGGCCAAGGCAGAAGGCTCACAAGGTTGAGGCCAGCCCAGGCTACATAGCGAGACCCTGCCTCAAAAAAAAAAACCACCAAAATATGAAACACACACCATAGTATATGATATTTAGGGATACCTCTATGAAGTGAAAGCAAACACATCTGTGTGGCATGCTCAGTTGAGGTGTGTGATCTACCTTTGCCTCCCTTAGAGCTGGATCTAGAGATTGTAACACCCAAATCCCGTGGTAGCTAATAGTTTCAGTCACTTACACTTTCACTGAGGGGGCATCAATAGCAGAAAATTACCTCATTTTTAAAGTCATGTTGACTTGTCTCATGACCTAGAAAAGGAGCAAAGACTCCAAATGCTTTTGTGACATTAGCCAGGACCCAATTTCTCCCTCTTTTAAGTTTAGCACAGAAAATGATTATTATATCATCCTAATTTTAATTCTAGCTAGGATGACTTAACTTTCCCAATTTAAATTGCTTAAGTCAGAAAGACTAAAGTAGTGGCAAAGTCAAACAGAGCCACTAAGGGATGAGATATTGAAAACAGGAAGGGAGTGTAATCATTCACTCCTTCAAGAATGACTCTCCAACCCCCCACTCTGTCACACTTTGTCTGGTGGTACAAGAACAAATACATTTGCTCTCCTGCACCTGTATTCCAGGTAGTGTAAAACTATTCACTAGTCAACATGTTTTGTTCTATGTCATCAGGTAGAATAAATGCTACAGAGGGAAATAAAGGCAACTATGGAAGGAGGGAATCAGAGAAAGCAATTCTTTAATACTTTGAATGATGCTGCTTTCATAGCTAGAGGGAGATAGAGCCATCATAAATTTAATAGAGTAGCAAGAATAAAAATGTAAATTGCTAATCCTAGTGATATATTAGTGAAATTAAACTTGACTGCTATATCATTTCAATTTTAATTCTAAGTTGTTGGCAGTGTTTGATTTCACACTTATTTTATAAAGCAACAGCTGTTATAAACGTGTTCATGTTCTTTGACCCATAAAACAGTGATTTTTCAATCCCACTGGACCTAATGCACTATGATAGATATTTTATAATACTTCCTTTACTACCTTAAAATGAAATCTTGGATCATATAACCCATCTAAAGACATAATTTCAAAAACTCAAGACAATGCTTCAAAGAAACCAAAGGAATTTTATAATAAAGCAAAAACAAAATTATAGTTAGACATATCAATGCCTGCAGCTATACATAGAATTACCATGGCAGCCTTCAATGCAGATTGAGGCCCACACTTAAGGACCAGTCTTAACTTGGAACATCATGGGTTGCCATGGCAATGGTAGAGTAGAGAATGGCTGAATCCCTATGTACTAGCCTAAAACACCTCTAACTTAAAAGGGAAAGGGGAGCTTAATCCTTCCATGGTCTGGAACTGTTAGGAACTAGAGAACCTAACAGCTTTGGGGTAAGTAATCAGGCTCTGGGCTCTCAGTAGCCTGCATGAATTTGACCACATGCCTTCAATAGAACACTGAGTATAGCACAGCCCACTGCTGGTAAGACTGTCCGATGCATTGCACACCTGACTCTGCCCACCAGTGCCAAAGGACAATGCTATTTGAATGAATATGTTAATATTCAGGTTATTATGACTGTATAAAATTAGAAGCATCCTAAATATCCTACTGAATGGAAATGTTTAATTAGCTTTAATTTATCTAAATTAAGCATATTATGCAGCCACCAAAGATATAACTAGAATCCTATGTAACAATGCAAATGAAAAGCATCACTTATGATATACTGTTGAATGAAAGCATATGCAACTATATATAACCCACATGCAAAACATGCATGCTGTGAAACCTTGGAAATATTCTAAAATTGATAGTTGAAAGAAAATGAATCAGTTTTCTGTTGATTAGTAACAATCACCCACAAACTTAGTGCCTAGAGACAATAAAACTTTGCTAGCATGCGATTTGGTAGGTCAGCAGTTTGGACTGGGCTCACACAGTGTGGTTCTGCTCATCTTGCTTGGATGAGCAGGACGTCCCTCACGCTGCAGGACTTGGGGGGAGGGGCACATGTTAGGCCACTGTGACCTTACCCTTACTCACACATCTACTGCCTATTGCAAACTATCCACTGGACTTCCCTGTGCTGTGGGTAAGCAATGGACATACTTGAATGAATCTGGAAAGCATCAAGTATTTTAGACCTAAATTATAACTTTAAAGTTGCTAAGAAGGGAGATTGCTTCATTTGTACATTTTAATACTACTCCCCAAAGATTTTATCAACCGAAGAATGCCAAAGACAGACAAGGGAACAGACAGCCATTTGTTCCATGGAAGATGAGTGGATCGCATTTGATGTGCCAACTAAAATAGGTGGTCCCAGGGCCAGAGCAGGAGGCTGATACAAGAACAAGGAGAGAGAGGAGCTTGGAATTAGTTAGGAGTCGGCCATGGTGGGGAGGCAAAGTGATCTTTGGGAGCAGTAGGGTGAATGCCACACATTTGCTATGGGAAAGGAGACCCCCTAGAAGAATGGGGTCTTGCATTTTTGTTCCTTCCAAGAACCTTGCTAATAGCAAGTAGACCACAAGTGGCTGCAGTGTTTAAACACACTGGCTTTGTTTTTGCATTCTAAGTCATGGCTGATGCATGGTAAACTTTGCACAGGTTGTGGCCCGGGAACTGCTGGCCCAGTATACCACACAGTATGAAGAAAATCCACTCTTTGGCCTGCTCCAGAGCTGGACAGCACCTGTGTTTGACAAGCTGAGAACCAGGTATGCATTGCCTAGAATGTCATGGTTGCCTACCTTCAGAGACTTATTTTGAGTCTAAATTTATAGAGCCTTGATATGGCCCAACTCACTCTTGCTTGATATTTTTAATATGTGATATATATAAAAATAGTGAATATTTAAAATTAATGCTCACACATACCACCCAATTTAAGAACTAAAACATTGATGACTCTGTTCTTTCTGCCTGTATTCTTCTTCATTGTCTATCTACTGCTCTAAACACTTTACAGGTTTTAATCCTAAAACCTCATGAGATAGGTTCCTATTTCCATTTCACAGATGAGGAAACTGAGACACAGATGTGAAGTATTTTGCTTGAGGTTTCATGGCTCATGATTTGACTCTAGACAGTCTGCATTCAGGACCCATACTTTAGTTATTTTTATTTATTCAATTTTAATATTGTCTCCAAGCTCTAGATAGAATGCATAATCTATGTGGTATCCTTTAATTTAATATGAAGTGTTTTTACTTCATATTTTATGTCTTGGATTTATCCAAGTCATTGTATATAGCTGAGAAGATTCTTTGCAATATCCCATAATATTTCATCAATGTGGATAGGCCACAATTTTCTTATACCATTTTAATCTTCATTATCAGTAGATATTTGAGCTGTGTTCAGTGTTTTGATATTTTGCATGATGCTGATTTGAAAAACACTTTGTGTTTTCTGGGGGAGCATGCAATTGTTTTTACGGGGCTTTCAAACTTAGTTGACATGACTCAGAATGTAAGCAGTACATTTTAAATCACCTTGGTCATCCACAGGGCTTACCAGCTCGGATGCTACTGAAGCAAACTTTCCATGAAACAATGCTCTCATAATGCTGCCTGGTGTTTTTTAAAATTTTATTTCTTTCCTTCCTTCACTTCCTCCCTCACCATCTCCCTCCCTCCTTCTCTCTCTCTTCCTCCTTCCTATGTGTCCTTTCTTTCTCTCTCTTTTTTTTTTTGTGGTGGTACTAGGGTTTGAAACTCAAGACATGCTTGCTAGGCAGCCCCTCTTCCACCTGAGCCATGCCCCTAGCTGTTTTTATTGTTTTATTTAGATAGGGTCTCACATTTATGCCCCAGTAGGCCTGGACTGTGATCCTCCTATTTATGCTTCTCACATAGCTGGGATGACAGGCTCGAGCCACCATGTCCAGCTTTTATTGGTTGAGATGGGGTCTTGCGAACTTTTTGCTTGGGTTGGTCTGGACCTTGATCATTCCAATTTCTGCTTCCTGAGTAGCTAGGATTACAGAAGTGAGCCACAGCACTGGCCTTAATTTTATTGTTTAAGAATATTGATCTCAATCCTTTAAACTGATTTCATGGCCCATTAGTGATTTGTAAACTTTTGTTTGAAAACACTCCTCTAGGGTATGTGTTGCCTAGGAGTGGAATTGCTTTGTTGTAGCGTCTGCCAAAGTATTTTTCGAGATGGTTAAAAAATCTACACCCCTCCCAGCACCACGCTCTTGTAGGGTCATATCCTATCCTCACCAACACTTGGTGTTGCCAAACTTAAATTTTGTCAATACAAAAAAAGTGTTTTTTTTTACTGAGGTTGCAAGCTTTATTTCTCTTAAGTGCATTTCTATTAAATGGGAACATGATTTCACCTGTTAATTTGCCATTCATATTAATTCTGTTTATGTTTTTGCACATTTTTTCTATTTTTTGTGTGTGTCTTCTGATTAATGATTTTAAAAGTTCTTTACTCTTTGTGATTAGAGATGTTACAATTATCTTTTTCAAGTTTGTGGCTTATCATATACTTTATTGTATCTTTTGATAAGCATAAATTGTCAAATTATAGCAATTATTAAAAAGATAGTTACAACAATTACATTATAAAAATTATACTTTATCAACCTCATCTTTTATATTCAATACTTTTGTTGGTCTGTTCTGAGTTCATGAATTGTGTACTTTTTGAGAGCTTCACTTTTCATATCTAATACTTGAATCCACTGGAAATTTTGTCTATGGTTTGAGGAAAGGGATCTAATTTCATTTTTTACCCAGTTAAGAGAAAAAGTTGCCCTAGCACCGTTTAATGAATGACTGTCCTTTCCTAGTGAAATGCAGGGCTCACTCTGGCATTTATTAAATGTCCATATTTGTGGCAGCCTATTTTGGGGCTATTTATGCATCTTTGATCCAACAATACATTGTCATAATCACCCTGGTTTTACCATGAAATATTACTATGATATGTTGATATTTTAATATTGGAAATATAATTCAGAATTGTACTGGTTATTTTGCCAATATAAGTTTTGGAATATTATCCAAAGAGAAGTCAACTCACGTTTCTCCAAAACAAAGTCTATAGACACAAAAGGAAAATATTAATGGATTGAATTTGTATGAGAGCTGGAGGCATAGCTCAGAGGGTAGAGCACTTGCCCAGCAAGTGCAAATCCCTGAGTTCAAACCATGGTACCACCAAAAAAAAAAAAAAGAATTTGCATGAACTACTTTAGAATATTAAAATTTATAAAGACAGGGCTGGGTGCTGTAGTTCACACCTGCAATCCTAGCTTCTTGGAAGACAGACAGAAATAGGAAGATCACAGTTTGAAGCCAGCCTGGGGCAAAAAAGTAAGGAGACCCTTTTCAACAAACAAGCCAGGCATGGTAGTACAAGCCTGCAGTCCCAGCTGTGAGGGAGGCTTAAGTAGGTTAAGGCCAGTCTGAGCAAAAAGTACAATACCCTATTTGAAAAATAACGAAAGCAAAAATGACTGAAGGTTTGGCTCAAGCAGTAGAGAGCCTGCCTTGCAAGTGCAAGATCGAGTTCAAAACTCCAGTAATGTAAAAAAAAAAAATCATAAAGTGGTTCTCAGAGGCTGAAGGAAGAAGAGCATAAGTAGTTGTTATTTAACAGGTCCAGGATTTCAGTTTGAGGTGATGAAGAATTATGTGAATATGCTAACGCCTGTGAATGCTACACTTCAAACAGTTAAAATGGTAAACATGTGCATGTGTTTGCGTGTGTGTGTGTGTGTGTGTGTGTGTGTGTGCTGCAGCTTATAAAACCTTGTGGAATTTTCTTAGAAAATGTTAATTTACAGATTTCTGAAAGTTTTTTGACTAGTTTCATGGGTCTTCTCAAAGATGTTAGATTTCTAAGTATTTTCTTGAGTTTTATTAATTTTTTTATACATTGTATATCCTTTGATAAATGAGACTTGCTTTATAATTGCTTGTTATTGTTAAAAGACTATCTTAGACTATGTTTCTTATTGTTACTCATTTATTACACATGCAGTTGGCTTTTATACATAAATCAAACTCTAAAACCATTTCTTTTAGCTAGACATGGTGGTGCATGCCTAATTCCAGAACTTGGAAGGCAGAGATAGGAGGATGGCAAGTTCGAGGCTAGTGTGGACTACTTAGCAGATCCTGAGTCAAAAAAAAAAAATTAAATCTATGTTCCTAAAGAAACATTTCTATAGGTCTTTTCCACTGACAGTCATACCATCTGCAAATAGTGATTTTTTTATTTCTTCCTTTCTAGCCTCTTATTGTTTTCCTGTCTTACTGCAAAGGCTGAGGCCTCCAATGCAATCTGAATAGGAGCAGTCATAGCAAGCCTTCTTCTGTCTTATTCCTGGTTTAAAAAGTAATGCATTTAACATTTCACTATTAAGAATGATGTTTTCTGATACTTCTTAAAGAAGCTCTATTTGATATTTTTAGTACATTTTTGTCATTTCTAGATGATAAGTTTATTTTTAATATTTTTGTCAGTACTGAGGTTTGAACTTGGGGCTTTAGGCTTGCTAGTCAGGTACTCTATCACTTGAGCCATTCCCCCAACCCTACACAATAAATTTTATCAAATGAATTTTTTGCTTCTGTTGAAATAGACACATGTTTTTTCTTTATTCAGTTAATTTAGTAGCTGACCTTTGTAAATATAATGTTAAACTATCTGGTATACTTAAGAAACACTCAATTTTGTCATACTATAGCATCATCTTACTTCTTGGCATCGGGGCACTATATACTTAAAGGTTTATTATTTTCCATTATTATATTTCCCTGGTTTTATTTATGTCATAGTTTTACTGGTCAGATAGAGATATCATGGAAGTGGTTCCTTAATCTGAGGAAAAATTCAATAATTTGTTTCAAAATGATCTGAACTTAGGAGAAAACTTTTAACTATTAATTTAACTTAATTCTTTTAAGATAGTTCCTTCTTGTGACAGTTCTAATGGGTTGTATTTTTCTAGGAACTTATCCATTTGCTTTTGAACTTTTTGGTGTAAGGTTTTTCACACTATTCTCTAATTATGTTTTTTTGAGGGGGTGAGGGGTGAGCCAGGGTCTCACTATGTGTGCAGACTAGCCTAGTACTTGCAATCTTCCTGCCTCTGCATTTGGAGTGCTGGGATTACAGGCATGTGCTGTGGCTGGCTTCTATAATCTTTTTAACTTCTTTAGAGCTGTGGTTGTGTCCTCTTGGTCCTAAAATCATCTCTTGGCCATTTCCTTTCTTTGCTGCTGTTGCTCATTCTTACTACATGTTTGTCTGGTTTTTTATTATTTTCCAAACAGTCAATTGTTCCCTTTGCTGGTCCTCCCTATTGTACCTTGTTTGTATTTCATTGTTTTATGCCCATAAATGCATTACCTTTTTAAATTCTACTTAGGAAGAGCTTTACTATGCTTCTTTTTCTTTTGTGTATTTTTATAATTATTATTTTTATTTGGAAGCAGATTATTGGTCTCCATGACCCAAATGCATTGAACTAATTTCTAAAGGAACCACTCATTAGGAAATATGATTTCATAATCCTGATCAAAAGCATGGAAAATACACTAGATCATGGTATGGGATTTCATTTTATTCAAACTGTAGGTTATCTTAAAGCTCAGAAGCACAAGCTCCTGCATCCTAGACTATTTTGCTGAAGTTTCTCTTAGTTTTTTTTAATGTCTCAATTTGTCCTCACACACTGTAGAAAACCAGG